GGGGTCAAAGCAAGACCCCCCCTCAGCCGGGGCTCACCCGCTCCCAGCAACGTCTGATCCCGGTGGGAAGGGCTGAAACAGAGGGGATCCATCCCAAAGGGCATCAAACCCCCGCAGCATCCAGGAACAAGCCCCTGCATCACTCCCCTCCACCAGCTGGCTCCAGTTCCCCCAAATTGATGCTCCAGGGATCAGATTTGGGGTGATGGGAGAAGAGATGGGCAGGAGAGCAGCCAGAGGAGCTGGGGGAGCAAAGGACCAACCCACGGGGGAAGGAGCTGCGGGTTTTCCTTGCCTGGGAGCTCGGTAGCAGGTCTGCATTCGCGGGCAGGAGAAGATAAAACAGCGGAAGCGCGTTGCCTTTATTACCTGAGACAATTGAAGCGTGTCTGAATATATCAGAGAGACGAGAGGTGACCGGCTCGTAGGGGGAAGCTTCATAAAATTCTTCTCCTGGAGTGGGAGGGAAGAAAGAGAAGGGGGAGAAAAAGCAAATTAAAAACCACAGCCAATAACCTCAGCCCCCACCGAGGCTACGGCCGGGTGCGGGATGGCAATCTGGGATTTGGGACGGGAAAACCAAAAAGCGTTTAAAGCACTGCCCTGCAACAAAAGGAAAAGCCCGTTTTGGAGCAGCTCAGCTGAATTCTTGCTGGTTTGGGAGTTTGTAGGTGGGGGAGCAGGTTGCTGGTGCCGGCAGCTGCTGGGTGCTGGGTCCTGCCGCAGGCTCAGCTCCACGTGCAAGCCGGGTCTGGCAGCGGGTTACTGACCTCCAGAGCCCAGGGAATTTAGATTTGGAAGGTCGATGTCCTGTGTGACCGCATCCGCAGAGCCTGGGCCAGCTGCAAGCTGGAAGTTTTAGGGTCTCTACTCAACATGGGATTGTCTTATTGTTGTTGCAAAAAAAAAAAAAAAAAGTATCTGCCAAAAAAAGATTTTTTTTTTTTCTTTTTTGCTGGAAAGATTGTTTTCCACCCCGCTTTGGGGGAAAATGGTAATATTTCAGCGGGGGGGATATAAGCCCAATCCATATCATTTGAGCTCCAGAGC